AGAGAAGTGGGTTGTGCCCACGAAAGCCCCTGATGCCATCTACATTTTTTATTAGCTTCTAAGGTGCTGCAGGACCATTCACTCTTTTTAATTTTTTTCCATTACAGACTAACACGCCTACCCCTCTGAGCCCTTTGAATGAGTTTTCCTGCTTGATTTTCACCTTGGGAATATCAGAAGTGACACTGCAGGACTAGCTTGAGGTCTCAACTGAAGTCAGCACCTCATTGTGCTAGATGCTATGCATGCACCTCTTGAGATTCCCTGGCCCAAAAAGTTTCCTATCAAAATAGAAAGAAGAGAGCAAGTGGGGAAAAAGGAACACGGATGACATGACTAAGATCACACAGCTGGTCAGTGTCAAAGCTGGGAACAGGCTCCCGTGGCTGCTGCTAATGCTGAGCTAAGTCTCTTTGGGTACGTCTACACAGCAAGGCTAAAGTAGAATTAAGCTATGCAACTTCAGCTATGTTAACTGCATAGCTTCAGTCGAAATAGCTTAACTCAGTTTTAGGTGCTATCTACACGGCAGGAAGTTGAAATAAGAATGCTCTTCCCCTGACTTCCCTTACTCCTCTTGAAATGAGAGTTACTATGCGTCAGAATAAGAAGCCCTCCAGCTTGACATTATTTCGAAATAAAGGCTTGTAGTGTAGACACGCTCTTTGTTATTTCAGAATGTCAGTTATTCCGACATAACGCTGCTGTGTAGACATACCCTTGGGGCGAGTGTGGCAATTTCAGTCCTTGGTGGAACCATATGTCAAAATTTGAGAGAGAAGTCTTTTCTCCCAAGTGTTCCTGTGGCATTAGAGTCAAAGAGGCACTACAAAATGTTGAGGAAGTGTGGAAAAAGTCACTTCCTCCTCTAATTTGTCGGGTTGTCCAAGCATGGCTTCTGCAATCAGACATTCCTAGCAGTTCCCTAGCTGCCCATACAGCATTTTAGGAAAAATCAGTGAGACAATGTAGGGATATAATGCTTCATGTAAACAGAAAAACATCCTTCCGGCTGTCTCAAGGACAAGAAGCAAAAGCAAAATAGAAGAGGTAGCAAAGCTCTCACTCCTCTATGTGGTTCACCTTTAACATAGCAAAGGGTGAGGTTAAACTGGCATTCTGTGGTACTGAAAGATGAAAAGTTCAGAACAGCTCAAAGGAAATACTCCATTCCTCTCCAGGCGACCTGTGGAACTTACTGCCACTGGATATTGAGCAACAAGAGCTTAGCAGGATTATTACTGCTTTAAACATCAGATATGAATGTGGTTAATAAGACCATCCAGAGGGAGAATAGAGACGAATTAAGCAGCAAACAAGAGACTGAAATCCTCTCAGGGTTGTGAGGCAGGATGCTTTGGTTACATCATTAGTGTAAGGGACGTCCACCTTCCTCTTAAGCAGCTTGGCCTCTGTCACATGGGAAAGAGGGCGACACAGACCAGGAGTCTGATGATCCCATGCATGGAGTCAGGGAAGGAAGAGATGCAAGCAGCGATCTCGCCAAGAAGGGGAAACGCTCTTTCCTTGCCTTGCTGGGAGTTCCTGGCTGCTGCTTGCCTGCCAAGGCACAGACAAAGGAAATTGCAGTGTTGGGGACTAAGCTCAGATTGGTAAATAAGCATTTGATTAAGGGCTCAGGCCGCTCCTCCTGTGCTGGAGGGCTGGTTTGGCGCCACCGGCGTGATTCCCATTAGACATGATCAAAACAAACCACAAACACAACAAAAGGCAGCAATTTTCCTCCTCTGTCAGGGCTTGGTAGCTCCTGGCGGCTGCTCACTGAGGGCCTGATGCAAAGCACTGTGGAAGCAGCACAGGGAAGGAACTCCCATGAACTCAGCCCCTTATTATCTCCATTCCTGGCAGTTCTGGGCACACGGCTCAAGTGCACGATTGGGGCAAGGAGGCAGAGATGGGCAGGTAGGGCAGAGTGCCCCACCTGGCCACCCTCCACCCCCATCATGTGGGAGAACTGCTGCAGGGAGGGAGCTGGGTAGAGATTGGGCAGGGATTTGGAGGCAGGCAGCTCCTACCCAACTAGATCACTCTCTACGTTCAGCTGGGAGAACTACAGCTCAAGTTGCAGCCTCACAAGCCCCAGTCTGGGCAGAGTCCTTCGGCAAGGAGAGGACCTGCTGTTTCACATCCCCCCGCCACAGGGGAGGGGAGAGGTATAAGTTGCCTCCAGCAGGGAGTGCCAGTTAATACTTGCTATGTCCTTTCCCTGTAAAGGGGCCACAGTCCCCACTAGTGTGGGGAGGGGGGAGGTAGCTCCTGCTGCTGCTTTACCTAAGATGCACAGGGACACTGACAGCCAGGAACTACAGCTGACCTCCTGAATCCCGGTCCAGTGTTTTAACCACTAGTGCATCCTTCCCCGCTCTTCACACTTCCCCGGGGCACCATCTGGGCAGAAGAATCCATATGTAGGATCAAGGCCTTCTTTTGGTCCACGCTAACTATTGTCAGTAGACAGCATTTCTTAGTTTCTATAGTTGAGTAGATAATTAAGCCCATCTCAGTTCCTGCTGTGATACCTGATGCTTCAGAGGAAACTGACTAACCCTTTTTAATACACCCAGCAAGTGGTCTGTTGCTGCATAGATGGTGGCAGCAGTCCTCTCCCTTGCTGGACAAGAAGCTTGTTAATTGCAACAGGAAAGCCTTAGGGATGGGGGTGTGTGTGACTGGAAAGATGTGAGGAAAGAGAATCGGGGAGAAAAATGGATGCTTGTCCCCACGTCCTTCCTCAGCCACCCCAAACCAGTTTCTTTTACAGCTTTGGCGCTAAAGCAAAGCATCAGAGAAAGTTCCAAAAATCCTCTAGCACAGAGCATAGTCACGTTTACTGGACTCAGCCAGAGCTTTAGTACAAAGGTGACCTTGAAAGGATTTTTATAAAATCAAGCGCGTTCCTTTCTTTGATGGAGGAGTCAGGCTTGAGAAGTTAGAAGTTTTACTGCTTGTTTTTTTTAAGCCTTAGAAATAATCAGAAACACTCAGCTGGGGCTTCCCCGGATTTTGATTGAGATCAGAGGAATGTTTGTGACACAGCCGCTTGAGTAGGAAACTAAAAAGGAACACTTCCTCCCAAGCGGTCACTGATTCTGTTGGTGTTTACAAGCCATCAACGGGTCTGAGAGTTGAAGGTCTTGCCTAGGTTGGGATCACATAGCCAGAATGAGACTGTGGCTGATCATGCACTAGAAAGCTGCAGTTGTTCACCGTTCAGGTGTGCCAGGGGCTGTACAAACAAAACCAGACTGCTTCAAGTGGTCTGTGTTTAAACATCTCACAATCGGGTTAAACTGATGCTAACCCCTACTGCAGCCATACACAACAATATGAGCCTCATTCAGACAGGTTTAACCAGCACATGGATGTTGCCGCACTGACCGGTGCATTTCCATTAGAGACATACCCTGGTTAAGAATCTATTTCAAAACTGGTTGAGCTGGAACACCTTTCTAGTATGCACTTGGCAGTCACATGCACCAGTGCATGCTGGGGACAGGTCACTGCCATTTTCATGTAGTGAGACACAGTGAAGTAATATCTTATAGTGGATCAACTTCTGTTAAACCAGCTTTGGAGCCCCACACCGTAGCTGTTGTGTGGCTCAAAGGCACAGCTCTCACCAACAGCAGTTGATCTAATAAAAATACCAACTCACTTTCTCTTTAATATCCTGGGACCACCTTGGCTACACCACCCCCACTGCCTGTTTAGTACCACTTTGTGTACTAGCCACTGTGCAAAGCCCAGCATGAAGGGAGAATGCACCTACCAACTGGAATTTGCACAACTGTTTTACACATCTGGCTTGGACAAGTGGCAGTGTGGACCCAGCTCAACAGTGACTTTGACAGCTCCCCTTTCCCTCGTGATAAGCTTTTTCGCTAGTTCTCCCACCTAGGCAGGACCTGAAACCTTGCCTGGGAGACACAGGCAGGACAAGCTGATGGCTAATACATAAGAGGGCATATGCCCAAGCCCCTGCAGGCTGCATTACAAAGGGAGCTCTTTGGGGCTAAGGCTCCAGTCGAAACAGGCAAAGGGTGGTGGTGGGTGAGTCGATGGAAGTAGGCACAGAGGGGGAAGATTTGCCTATGTCGACAGTCAGTGGCAGGACAAGGAATAGGCACCAGGACTCTTGTCCCATTGCTCAAACTTCACAGGCTGGCACCATGCTTGACCATAAAGGAGCCAGGTAGGTGGACTGTCAGGAGTGAGGGTTTGTGCTTGCAGTAAGGTTTTTCAGTGCCTCAAGACCCCCACGGGCAGGGTCCGAACTCACCAGCTTACACGCCACAGCAGGCCGTGTCACGGCTGAAGAATGCTGCTGGCACAGCCCCTAGCCGGAAGCACCATGACTGTGAAGGAGGCTGGTGAGTGGGGATGTTAAACTGTTAACAGCGTAGCAGTGTGACTGTTAAAAGCCTCAGTGGTTACATGCTGTGGGCTCGGCCGTACGCAGCTTATACCGCAGAGCCTGCAGCACAGGGAGACAGTCGGCTACCCAGGAGCAGGGCCAGCAGCTGGAGCCAATGTGCGCTGGGAGCCAGCTTACTAGCACACCAGCTCTCCGCTGCCAAGGAACAGGCTGCTGCTCTGCAGACCCCGATACAGAGCCAGCAGTGCAGGGTGGCAGCCGGCTCCCTGGGAATTGGTAACTGTTACAGAAACTGGTAAGCTTGAGCCTATCAGTTAACCATTGAAATGGTTATGCTCTCGTATCCCTGCTGATGAGGCCGTGCTGCCAGGCCTCGCCATACTGTTTGCTCCAGCGGACGAGACAGCCATCTGTTCAAAGAGCTTTATTACTATGTTGACTTAAGACACTTTCAATAGTTTAAAAAAACAAGTATGCAAAGAATATTCCTACTGCATCGGAGAGGGAACCAGAAGAGGTCAGAACAGGGCACTTCAGGACTGAACTAGTGCTTCCCCCAAGAAGCTTTGGCCCTGGGGAGCCAGCAGCAGGTTGAGAGCTCGGCTGTCCATTCCTGATCAGGCTGCAGATGTTACCTTAAGAGCGAAGGGTCAGTCTAGTGGAACAGAAGCGCATTTCTAGCACAAGCTACCAGACCAGCGCTGCCATGGGAGTGTTTTCAGAGGCTCTTCTTGAGGCTGAAGGAAGTTGATCCAGCGGGAGAGGTCAGATTCTAACGCACCCTAGTGTGGATCAGACACCTGTCACGTGGCGCCGGGCACACCCCACCCCACGGTCAAGCCATCTGAGCACAGGCGCTCTGTACATTGTCCCCCTTTGTCCCAGGAAGGGACTAAGATTTTAGCGAGTTGTTCCACAGAGGAGCAGATAGAACAACGATGGCAGCAAGTCCAGTGCCATGGCTAGACAGAGACTCCACCTGATACCCTTGAAGGGGATTCAATCCTCCAGCTGGTGGAAGCCACCCTAGAATTATTGGGATTCTGCCAGGAGGAGGGACCCCCCATGTAGCTTTGCCAGCCATGCTGGGAAGGCAGTAGCAGCACTGCAAAGCTGCAGCAGTGGGCTGGAGGGGAGAGCACACGACTGCCCAGCTAGACAGAGCGGGGGGGGAGGAGGAGAAGCTAGACAGAGCAGGGGGGAGGACGGAGAAGAGGGGGAGGGGAGAACTGACATGGAGTCTGCCTCAGCTGCAGCTAACCATCCCAGGCAGGGGCAAGTCAGAGCTGCAGCAGCCCAAACTGGAGCAGAGCTGGTGAGTGCAGTGGCAGGGGTGGTCCCCACAGACAAGCCAGCAGACCTGGCTGACGTTTCTGTCAAGCCACCCCAGCCCCATGTACCCAAGGGAGTCGGGGCTGCCTGAGCTGGTGGCCTGACGCAGCGGGGGTGGGACGAAGTGCTTTTGGAGGGTGATTTTACGGAGCCAGTGGGGGCTGCTGCCAAACCAGAGAAGGGGGCGATCCAGCTAGTAAGTGGCACGGGGGGAGGAGCCTGGCCACAAAGCAGATTTCCACCCCCCCCCACCTCCCGTCTACCCACAGACTGTGCCCTAATGCCCTGGCAGGCTCAGGGGAAGGGTCACAACCAGACACTCCATTGGTCAGGGAGCAGCATTAACCCTTTGGTTACCCCATCAGAACTTGTCCAGGTTTCCCCCGTGGCTGTGGTACGTGGTACATGGATGCAGCCCCCCTGAAGCCATTCAGGTCCCCGTCCCCACAGTGGCTGTGTCCGTGGGCTCTCGTGTCCAGGATCACATGCAGTCCATGGAGTTCTCCGGCAAGAGGCCAAGGGCAGTGCCCACCCCCTTGGCCGAGGTGCAGCTGGCAGCCAGCAGGCCCCCAGGCTCTGGGTCCATGTTCTCGATGTCCTCCACCTGGTCGCTGGGGCCATCCCAGTTGATGTGGAAGCGAGTGACACGGGGGTTGGAGGCCAGAATGTTCCTTTGCAGCTAAGCAGGGAGAGGAGGAGTCAGACAGCTGTGGGGTGAGAGACTTGCAGCCCCCCAACTGGTGAGGCAGGCATGCTGGATACTTCCAGTCAGCCAGTTGGCTGCAGGGGCCTGGCTGGAGTTTCCCCCTCCCCGCCAGGGCATAATGTGGCCTAAGCCAGCAGAGGTGGAAGGACAGGACAGTGCTGGGATAGAACTCAGGGCTTTTCTGCTTACTGTAGTAATGGTCATTACTTACATCCCAATAGCTCCCTGTACAGAGTGGCAAACAGAGGCACGGGGCTGTGGGGGAGACGAACTTGGGCAAGGGCACAAGTGAAATCGGTAGCAAGCCAGGAATTGAACCCAGATGTCCTGACTCCGTCCTAGCCAGGAACATCAAATCTCACCCTTCCACTAGCCCAGAAATGTGCAATGATTTTTGAAGGGGGGCCTCCTGAATTTCAGAAGTGGTCATGGGCTATCCTGGAAGGGGCGGGGTCTCAGGCAGAAGGGGCAGGGCCAGGAGACTTCAAGTGCTCCCCCAAGCACAGACCCTAATTGGCCTCAGGGTGGGGAGCATATGAAATATTTGCCCCACACCCTGCCATGGGCACCCAGCACCTAGAGAGAACCGCCAGCTGTTTTGAACAGCTGGAAGTTCCCTCTAGGCACCTTGCACCTCTGGCGGTGTGAAGAGACTTCCTGAGCTCCCTCCAACCAGGGGGCACATCCCCCACCTTCAGGAAAAAAGGGGGGCAGGAAAGGGGTGGGAGGAAATGGGGGAGGAGCAGCCTCAGGAGGGGGCCAAAGGAAGGTTTTCCCCTTAGGTTGGGGGGGCACCTCCCCTCACCCCAGTGCTGCCCTGTGGACGTCGTCTCTGGCTCCTCCCACCCTGCCCCGCCCCACTAAGGGTACAGGGTTCCCTCCTGGCAGGGCAGCAAGAGGCTTCGTGCGCTCCCCCTGTCCCCAGGTCTCGACTGGCCTGAGTGCAGGGGAGCAGCAGCAGGCTGGATCTGGCCCGCTGAGGCCCCTTTGCCCACCCCTGCAGTACTCAGACAGGGTCAGGAGCTTGAAATGCCACTTTACTGCCCAGAGCATCAGAGCTCCCCGATCCCAGCCTCTACCCGGTGAGGAGCTGGGTCAGAGCAGGGCTCTGCAGTGGCAAAAGCCTCTTTGCCAGGAAGGCCTGAGATGCTCCTTACACGGGCCCTAGGGACAAGAGCCCTTTTGTCAGCTGATCGTACCTGGGAGAAGTCTGGCTTGAGGGGCGGGTTCTCCCGCAGCTCAGGGTCTGTGTACTCATTGTTGACATAGTAACCCACACGGATGAACTCCTGGCCCAGGTAAGTGCAGGTAATAAGCACCACTGTCACCCCCACGGCGTCGCTTTCAGGAATCAGGGCGGGGTTGGGGGCTTCGGCCTGGAAAGGAAGAGACAACAAGCCTGTGGACAAGGGGGATCCAGTGGACAGACTGTACGTAGATTTCCAGAAAGCCTTTGACAAGGTCCCTCCCCAAAGACTCTTAAGCAAAGTGAGCTGCCATGAGAGGGAAGGGCCTTTCCTGGATTGATAACTAACTGCTTAAAAGGTAGGAAAGAAAGGGTAGGAACATAGGCATACGCAGGACACTTCATTAGGGTGTGCACCCAAAGAATTATTTAAAAAGTGTACTTGACCCCCCCCCCCATC